TTGTGCAGATGCCTGATGTGTGGATAAACTTGGCCCATGTTTATTTTGCTCAGGGAAATTTTGCCTTGGCTGTGAAAATGGTTAGCAACTCAGCATGTCCTATTTTCACTCTACTCTTTGTATCTCCAAAAGTCTTTTTACAGTGGAAACTATATGCTGATCACCCTTGGTTCATGCAGTACCAGAACTGCTTGCGGAAGTTTTATCATAACACAGATTCACAAATACTTTTATATCTAGCCCGTACCCATTATGAAGCTGAACAGTGGCAAGACTGTATAAAAACTCTATTGAGAGCCATCCATTTGGCACCCTCGAATTATACACTAAGATTTGATGCTGGTGTTGCAATGCAAAAGTTTTCAGCATCAACGCTACAAAAGGCTAAGAGGACTGCCGATGAGGTTATTTCTTTGAGCCCTTGAATCTTTTGATGAAAGCTGATCATGTACCATTCTGTTCTCGAACCTCAATTGTAGCAGTGTTCTTCAAGAGAAAAAACATGGAGTGAGTTGTGTCATGAGCATCAGCCCAATTGGTTAGAGAAAACTTTTTCTTACTGCGCTATGTCAGTTATTATTTCTGTTTAAGTCATTATCTATGATCTAGCAGTGAGGGGTTTTAGGGGGCATTGGTTTAAAGATTTCTACTTACTGTGTTATGCCAATTATTTAAGAAAAATGTTTTTATTGATTAAGATTTCTACTTAATCTGTTGCATTATTTTGATGTGGTTTCCAGCTAATTTCTGAGGGCAATCTTCCTAGGTCGCTGGTTTGATTTATTCCTGAGTACACATTATGCTTTCGTGGGTCGATCGCTCTGAAATAGCATCTAGTTTAGTCACTTGATAATCTGCTCTCTATTTGACATTTGTTTCTTGCTGTTAGGTGCGAGCAACTGTTGCAGAGCTGCAAAATGCGGTTCGTATATTTAGTCAGCTGTCGGCAGCTTCCAACCTGCACATTCATGGGTTTGATGAGAAGAAAATAGAAACTCACGTTGGTTATTGCAGCCACTTACTTTCAGCTGCAAAAGTTCACCTTGAAGCAGCTGAACGTGAGGAGCAGCAGATGCGACAGAGACAAGAACTTGCTCGTCAGGTTGCATTGGCCGAGGAAGCCCGGCGAAAGGCTGAAGAACAAAGGAAATACCAGGTTTTACTTTCATAATTTCCTAGTACCTGCTGTATACTTACTGGTTGATATCTAAATGTTCTCTTTGTAAGTGAACTCTTCTGAATTCTGCTTGGTTACAGCTGGAAAGGAGAAAGCAAGAGGATGAACTAAAACGAGTACAGCAACAAGAGGAACATTTTAAGCGTGTAAAGGTAAGAATCCAAGGTGTTCTTTTAAGAAAAGAAAGGTAATAGGAACTGGTTAGTCCTTTTTGTTTTGCATTTGGCTTGGATTCTTGGTTTCTTAGGGAGGTGCTCTATAGATGATTGTGTTCATGGAAAGTATTTGGAAAAATACTGCACTGAGCATATGCTTTTGCCTGCTGCATAAGGTGTTTATATAGTTTCTGGGGATTCCTTAGTATTAACAAAAAATTTCCTGACAACAGTACATCCTGCACCTGAAAGGTAGATTATACATGAATACAAGTTAATAAAGAGAACAAACATTATGTAAAGTTCATTATCTAACATTAGCAATGCAACAAGTTAATGTTGCTGATCAAGTAACCAATTCAAATAAGCTTATGTTCTTGAATGTCACATTACACTTCGTATGTGTACTATACTAAGATACCATGCTTGTTGAATATGCCCGTTTCCCACTGTGCGGGATTGGATGTGGAGCCATCTATCCAGCTGTCAGATCATGAAATGTCTTTTGTGAATGTCGTTTACTCAAATAGAGATTGTGATTATGCTGCAAAATGTGCTTTAAAAGCTTTAAGCTTCTCTCTGCATTTCAGGAGCAATGGAAGAGCAGCACACATTCTTCAAAACGGAGAGAGAGATCTGATGATGAGGATGGTGGTACTAATGAGAAGCGGAGAAGAAAGAGTGGAAAGAGGAGAAAGAAGGATAAGCACTCAAAGTCACACTATGACACAGAGGAAATAGGTGATATGATAGATGAACAGGAAAATGAAGACGAAGACGCTGACGTAAACTACAGAGGGCCTGATGCTCAGATGATTGATGATGATGGTGCTGAAGAGAATGCCCAGGGTCTTCTTGCAGCAGCTGGGCTTGAAGATTCTGACGTAGATGATAGGATGGTAATGAATCATTGAAATTATTTACATTTATTAGTCATTTTCGTGCATCTCAATTTTTTTCTTTTTTTCTTTTTTTAATTATGAGAGACACGTGGCTTTAGAATCAGGAGTTGAGAGTGGTGGGGATGTTGGATAGCTCGTTTTGGATATAATCTTGTTATCAAAGTCTATCAACAGATTCATTCTGAATGTACATCGCGTCTGGAGACTGGATGTCTGATAGGTTGCCACTGCTTCAATGAGTTAGTAGTCGGCCGCATCTATTTTTTTAGATCATTATAGGAGTCAGTTCCTAAGTAGGGATCATTTTCTCAAGGTAGATGTAAAATAATTGTTAAGAGACCCCATTACTATTTCTGTGGCAAGGTTTGATTTCCAGCATACTTAATGCTGCCCACAATTGATTTTGCTCTTAATTTGTCTGCCACTGAACTTAATTTGTTGTTCGCCTTTCTACTGACTGAAGTATTGCCTGCTTCTTTTTGCTTGAAGGATGCACCTTCAACTATCAGTCGACGGAGGCAAGCTTTGTCAGATTCTGATGACGATGATGAGCCAGTACAGAGGCATTCCAGTCCCATTGGAGAAAATTCTGCTAATCTGCAGGACAGTGATGGAGAAGTCGAGGATAGGGGCAGGACCAATGGAGATTTTGCCAGTGATGATGAGAAGCAGAATTGAGTTTCCAGCTGCAGAGTTGACATGTTTTCAGTCTCGGTCTATTTAGGCGTAGAGATTTCCTGGGGTTCTCAAAATCTTCTACACAAATATGTGATGCATCCCATTTTCTGGTGTACATACTTTGAAAGGTTGTTTTTGTGTAAAGCAACTTTATCATTCAATATCATATCCGTTTTCAGTTCGTTGATTTCGAAAGGATAATCTTGAACAGTGGTTTATGCTAGTGAAGTCTGAGATAACATAAGACGGCCTTAATTGTAAGCGACCAAAACTAAATAAATAACCAGATGGGATATCGGATGTCCTATTGTCCCGTTAAGTACAGTGGAAATCTAACTTGGGAAAGGAAAAGGGAAAGAATCTATCATTTAAATTTGAAGTGGTTCGGTGTGCAGGAAGCCAAATTCGGTATGATCATGAAAAGTGACTTCCTCCCTTAATGCGAGTAAATCTAACTGGTTTCGTTCGAATCAGAATGTTGCCTCATTTTGCCCTGACAAAAGAGGTCTATTCGATGCCACGACGAGTGGTTCGGAGTGAAATTGCTGGAAGTAAATATTTTGCTTTCCAAAGAATTGAGGAATGGGACCCGCGCGATCTTTGGTCCTTAATTGGCATTTAAAAGTGTTGGGATTCGTAATCATCATATCGTCTTACAAGAAAAGGTGTCTAATTGACTACCTTAGATGAGACTAGGTGGCTGATGAAAGGTTGATGCCCATTGCTTGGGATCTTGGTACTTTTTTGGTTATTGTCATTTGTAAATGTTAGTTGTGATATTTATTCGAAAAAGGGGTTTTCTTCTTTTTTCCTTTTATACGGTAAACCATATCTTGCTAATAATGGATTATTCATGTTATCTACACGACATGAGCGTGAATAGTTCCACACGAGAAACTTCAATCATAATATTTTTTAACAAGATAAAGCTTCCCTAACTAGAACTTTCTAATCTATGCAGTCTAATTTAATTTATAAGCTCCTTGGCCAATATATTATATTAATGCTAAAAAACCAAAATGAAGATTCCCGGAAAGAGAAATAATTATTGCCAAATGCTCTAAGTTTATCTAATTTTTTTCATTTCCTCACGCTTCTTGTATTGCAGTGTAATTATCTATGGGACTACTATTTTTGTAAGCATATCTGGATAATTTAGCTGTAGATGACTATATTTTAGATTGGATGCACTGTTCAATTAGACCCGATTGTAAGCACGGAAAGTGCTGCCCTAATGGTTATGCCAGTTCTTATCTGTCTCAATATTCCTTTGTGGTGCCTCGAAAAGTTGCATGAATTTACCTCGAAAGATGTCTCGTTTGCTTTTGTTAATGCTCTGCAGCGAAGTTGAGAATTGCAATATTAATGATAACAAGTAAACGATCAAGTAATCAAATATCCCTGTTTTTGTGATTTTGATTTATATTCAGGATTTCTCTCTCCAAAAATGCATGATACATTGTTAATTAGACTTGTGAAAGTTTTTGAATAAATGAATGTTTCCAGAACTTGCAATTCGACTCGTGTGCTTAATGGGAACTTAAAATTGGACAAGTAAATTAAAAAAGAAGAGTTTAAGTAAAATTAAAGAAGAATAAAGAAAAAGGAGGAAAAGCTTGAATTTAAAATTTGAATTTTTGAAATTTTAAAAATGAAGGCATTGAATCTAAAATAGAACTGATGTGCGATTTTATGCCCAGCTCAAGGTTAAACTAAATTCTTATCAAACCACGTACAAGATTTACCCTGACAAAAAAGAAGGAAAGAAAGAAAGAACACTAAATAGCTTCCTACATGCTACATGAGGCGCCATGTTTGAATTGAAGCTGGCAAGAGTGGGAGAAGAGAGAGAGAGAGAGGCTTTCAAAGAATAGGTCAAATAGTTCACGTAGCCTGGCCAAAAAAAAAAAAGATTCACGTAGCGCATTTTTGTTTTCTCGGCAAAATTGCCATGGTGAATATGGTGCTGGAATGGTCTTTTGCCCCGTTCTATCGTGTATTTTGTTGGGCTAAAATTTATTTTCATCCTTGAATCATATCCTAACTCCTAAGAAGTATCTAGTGTCATATTTTTTTTTTTGGTCCGATTCACCCTTCAAACTTTAAAACCAAATCATCCAATGTCCTGTCATTAAATCCAATTAAGTTTGACTGTTAAATTATTTTGGTTGATTAAAATTTGACACTTGGTAGTCCTTGTCTGCTTAGATATTCCACCTCAGCCGAAGTGTACACTTGCCACCTCATCTTCCCCCTTCACCGTCAGCTCTTCTCTCGCCCTTATATCTTCCTCCTCTCTCCCGTATCTATCTCGATTTCCATCAAACCCACACAAGGAGTCCTCAATACACATCTCATACGGATTTGGATGATGTTGAATTGGAGAAGGAGAAGAATAGAAAAAGAAGGAGATGAGGAAAGAAACAGAGGGAAGTGCTCCATCATCGCGACCAACATCAACTCCATCATCTTCGATCTTCAAATCTAGAGTCTTCCTAATCCACTTCCATCTTTATCCTTTATGTTTGTTTGTCACATCTGACAAATGGGGCTAAGGAAGGAGGAGTGGCAGTGATAGTGGCTTCATTGTTGGCAATGGACAGGGGGAGGTAGGTCTCGGCTAAGCTCAACGTTCTAGCTTCCAAACATTCTTCATCCACTAGTATCTTATTTTCGAATCTCAAGGGGTTTAATTTGTTGGATTTGATTCTTAGGTTGGGTTTGATTCCTTTGTCTTGGCTCCTCTGGCTCTACCCATTGATGACGATAATGATGGTGACCAAATCCTCAACTCCAACAAATTCCCCTTCATCGCCATCGAGTTCGACACATGGCATAAGATCTTGTATAAACTTTGACTTTTCTGGGTTTTTGGCCTTTGATGAGGCCTTGATTTGATTCAATTTTTTGTTTCCAGGTTCGATTGATTCAAGTCATTTTTTTGGGTTTGATTTCTAGGTTTCTGTGAGTTCAAGTTCACTGATTACTTTTATGGATTTATGGGCTCGAGTCTTTCTCTTTTCCCTGACTGTTGGGTTTTGATTCTTTCTTTCTTTTTCCCTTGACTGTGTTCAACTGAAATGAAATATGATTCTTTTGATGTTTGATGCTTTAGTTCCAGAATTTGATCCTTCGCTAGTTTTTCATTTTTTTCATTTAGGGAACAAGTTTGTTTGATGCGATGGAGAGAGAAGGTGATGAGTGACTATGCCACATTGCAAATCCTCCAAATGAACAGTGCAGACTTTTTGTTCTGGTTTTGTGATGTGAGGATGGAGAGATTTGCAATGTGGATGCTAAAGGAGATGGTGAAGGTTGAAGGTTTTTGCTATGGACTTGGTGATGTGAAGAAGATGGAAGAGAGAGATGAGTTGGCAAGAGGAGGAATATCCGGTGCCCTCGGGGGCTGCCAAGTGTCAGTTTTTAATCAACCAATTTAACAGTCAAACTTAACTGAGTTTAACAACAAAACATTGGGTGATTTGGGTTTAAAAGTTGGGAGAATGACAAATAAAAACTTGTAAGAATATTTATGTTAAATTATAATTTTTTAATATTGATATTTTTAAATTTTAATATTTCTCCAATCATGTTTCAATATTAAAATTTTTTATTTAACATTAATATTAAAAAATTACAATTTAACATAAATATTCTTACAAGTTTTTATTTGTCATTCTTCCTTGCAAGTTTAAGAAGTGGATTGGATTATAAAAAATATTGAACACTAGATATTTTTTGAAATATAGTTTAAAAATAAAAATGGATTTTAATTTTTTTTACTTTTGCTATTAAAATTTCATATTTCAAGTTGTTATGTTATGATGATTAATCTAGTACTTTTTTATTTTAAATATTTTTCACAGATTTGATCAAGTTTTATGCAATTTTATTTTTTAAAAGATTTTTCACTTGCTTAAAAGGAGTTTAAATGATTATATTATGTAAGACTCAATGTAATTCCCTTGAACTTGAAGTATTTTTTTTGATTTTATTTATAGAGTAGAGAGAAAAAATTTTTTTAACAGTATTTATAAATTATATCATTAATTTTTTATCATAATTTTTTTTACCAATCAAAAAAATATATTATTAAAATTTATATATTTATTAAGATAAAGTTAAAATTTTTTAAAATTTTAAAATAAAGTTAATAAATTTTAATTTTTTTTTACGCTAGTCAAATATGTTGAGGATAATTTATAAATAGAAATTGAGTAATAATTTAGGAAAAAATGCATCGACCGCGCTGTGCCGCGTGCGTCAGCGATGGCGGGAAAGAGGCATCCGGAGAGGCGTATGGGGGAAGCTTCCGCGCGCGTTCTTTGAAGCCTGCAGCGGTGCAGCCTATTTGAACCTCTACTTTCTCCTCGACTCTGCTGAATCATTACTCCTGCTCAGTGCTCACTCCTATTTTCCTCTTTCAGCCAAATGGTTCACTCCAAAACTACCCCCAAAGCCTCCCACCCTAATCCCAGCCCCCCAATCACTCCATTCCATCCTCACGAACCTTCTCCTTCTTCCCTCCTACCGTGCCCATCTTCCCCCTTCGCTTCCTATTCTCTTCCTCCCTCCGCTCCCGTTCGGAGGCGGAGCGTTCGTCTCCTTCTCGCCTCCCGAATGGATGTTGCTGCACGCCCCCTATCTGATCCTTCCCCCATTAGTACAGATGGGGATTGCTCATTTCCCGAGGACCCCGAGTTCCAGAGCAAAATTTCTTGGGAGCCTGGTGTCCCCCGCGTGTCTCGTTCGGATGATCATGACATGGGGTTGGACTCTAGTGGAAATGAAATCAGGGATTTGGAACTGGCGGACAATACTGACCGAGTGGAAGTGGAATTGTTTAATGAAATGAGCAGAGGCGGATCAGATTCGTGTCAGCATGGATCAAGTTCGCGGATTCCTGGGCCCAAGTCCTCTAAGGCTAAGAGGAAGTGGGGGTTGAATTTGGATGTTCATTTAGACAGTTTTGAATGCAGTGGAGATGAAAGAAGCAACGGTTTTCTCAATTTACGGTCGGGAAAGACTATACCTAAGAGAGGAACGGATTTAGAGAATCCTATGGACAAGACTCTTGAAAAAATTGAATGCCGAGGGAAAACTGTTGAAAGTTTTATGGATGCTGCATCCATTTATAAGGATGTTGCTGGTGGTGCTAAGCGTGGTCGAAAAATGAGAAGTGAAGATAAGGGAAATAAAGAACTTCACATGGATGGTTCCAAGTCAGTTGATACAAGGCAATCAAAAGGTAATAGAAAAGGCAAGAGAAAGTTAGTTGGCGCTGGTGAAAAGGGGGATGTTATTGAAAACGTGGATGAAGGGCTGATCTGTGATACAAGGCAATCAAAAGGTGATAGAAAAGGCAAAAGAAAGTTAGTTGGTGCTGGTGAAAAGGGGGATGTTATTGAAAACGTGGATGAAGGGCGGAGCTGTGATGATTTCTTACCTAATGATAGTCAAGAAGCTGGAATGGGCTTAGAATCCAATTCAGGCGATCGTATTACTAAAGTTGCCAACCATCTAGGAGACAATACAGCCTCACGAGGTCAAGAACAGTTGATAAACATGAGTATAAGAGAGTATGGTTCAAGAAGGAACGAATACATGGAACATTTCAGGGATATAGCCAGGGCAAATGCTTCTCAATATGCTCATTTTGCAGCAGATGAGGAACATGACCAATTGACTAGCGAAGCTGAAGTCGAAAATGAAACTGAAGACTGGCCAGGTCCTTTCTCAACGGCTATGAAAATTATCAAAGATCGAGCACTGAAAAGTATGCAAACAGGTGGTGCCTCTTCAGAGAGAAGTTCACCTGTATCCGTAAAATGGCTTCCCAAGAGGAATCAAGGGAAAATAGGTGCAAGATTCTCAATCCCATCACTGCAAGAACTATGCCTTAACGTTCTCACCAAGAATGCAGATGCAATTGTTTCCCTTAATAATGTCCCTGATGCTCTGAGGCATAAACTCAGTCAGTTGTTATGCGATTGTCGAAAAATGAACAGTCATTTTTTTGAACTTCTTGTCAGTGGATCACCCATGGAGATTCGGCTAAGGGATTGCTCATGGATGACAGAGCAGCAGTTCACAGAATCTTTTCAAATGTGCAGCACTACAAGTTTGGCGGTATGTTCCTAGAGTTATATGATAGCTTTCAGTATTTATTGCAATTTTATTACATTTTGATGTTTGAATTCTGTGTCATACTTTTTAATCCGAATTCTGATTATGAGTATAGTATTATCATTCATAAGCATGGCGTTGGCTTACATCATAAGGAAAAGAGGGCTGACCAACATTATATTACCTGAATGCCAGAATCTTTAATGGATTAGTATTGGTGGGCTTCTTTTCAGTATTATGTAAGATAACATTATTTAGAATATCTTCTAGGTACAAAAGCACTATAATTGATTGGGTTGGAATTTTAGTATTTCACTTTTATGGCATTGATCATGTGTATGAATTAACACCTATTCTATGCATATATGAGTGGATTTTTTTGATGAGAAATAATCTTCCTAAATGGAGCTATGAGCTATGCAAATTTTATGTAGTATGGCGAGACATCTATAAGATTTGCTTTTGTTTAAAGCTGATCTCTATTTATCATGTGAAATTACTCCTTTAATCTGCTTAGTTAAATATGGTTGTCTTTACACATCTTGCATCAATCTGATTTTACTTTGCAGTTGCTTTGTTATGTAAGCTAGTTTGACTTGGATGTAATTATGTAACACCCCCCCCCCAAAAAAAAAAAACCAACAAAAAATGGGAAGTGGACTGGACCTTATAATTTTATTCTCCTCTCTTAGTCCCAGAGAGCCTTAATTTAGTGCTTTTTATTTCTTGATGACTGACATTGCAATTTCTCTTCTCCTTTTTGTATCTTTTTTTTTGTGAATTCCCTCATATTTTTGCTAGTAGTTTTTATTATGTCATCTGATTTTTGTTGTGTGGTAGCTTTTAGTTTATGCATTTTCTATTTCTTTTGGAGGAATTTTTTTTTTTTTGGTTTTGATTTGAAGTTTCTTGTGGGATTCTAATTCTAGAACTCAGGGGAGTCAAATTTATGTTGTTTTTCACTTGTGTAATAGGTGTTACAACTTGATCAGTGTGGTCGCTGTTTGCCGGATTATGTACTATGCTCTACTTTGGCACAGGCACCAAGGCATTTACCTAGATTAACTACTTTGTCCCTCAGTGGTGCATGCCGTCTTTCAGATGGGGGTTTGCGTTCATTAGTTTCTTCTGCCCCTGCCCTTCGATCAATCAATCTTAGCCAGTGCTCCCTTCTCACATCTACCAGCCTTTATATCTTGGCAGATTCATTAGGATCACTTCTGAGAGAGTTGTATCTTGATGATTGCCAAGGCATTGATGCTGCACAAATTGTGCCTGCACTGATGAAGCTTGAACATCTGGAAGTTTTGTCGGTAGCTGGTATTCAGACTGTTTGTGATGATTTTATCAAGGATTATATCATTTCCCGTGGTCACAACATGAGGGAGCTTGTTTTAAAGGATTGTGTGTGAGTACCATATGAGAACTGACCCTATTAATGTTTTGAATCTCCTTAAGAGTGTTTTCATACAAGTATTTGAGCAAGTTGAATGTTGATTTGTATTTCTCAACATGCAGAAAGTTGACTGATTTATCAGTGAAAGTCATTGCTGAACACTGTCCTCAGTTATGTGCGCTTGATCTTATGAACTTGTCTAAATTATCAGATTCATCCATGTTATATCTTACAAATGGTTGTCAAGCACTTAATATTCTGAAACTTTGCTGCAATGCCTTCAGGTTGGTGGTGTCCCTGTCCTCCTGAGCCTTCTTGCATTATCATTTTCTATGTTGTTTTCACTTTTCACTAGTTGCTTTGTGTGTTTATCTGATGTTTTTTTTATGTGCTTTATATATATAATTCTGTTCTTTATGTAGACAGTGATTCAGTCTACTTGTCTGAGGCTACTTATAGGAGTTTCTAACTGTGTAACTGTCTTGGCTCTTGGAATGTTGAGAGCATCTTTTTCATATACTTCTGATTGTGCTTCATAGCTTGAATCTATCAAATTTCAGGCCTTCTAATTGTTGAATAAATTTACGCAACTTTTTTCTCATTACAGTGATGAAGCAATTGCTGCTTTCTTGGAGACCATGGGAGAGTCTTTGAGAGAACTTTCCCTCAATAATGTTAGGAAGGTACCTTGTTTCCGTTCCTCCCTGATTCTCTTCTTGCTTGGCAGTGCATGTCATGCTCGCTACACGCACATTTTAAACACATTGAACAGTTCCAGATTCGATCTCATTGTTTCACAAAGCAGTTTGAGGTCCAAAATCAAACGTATAGAAGATTAGTGCAGCTGAACCTAGATAATAAATAAATAAAATAATTTTAACAGACTGTAATAAAGGCTAATAATTAGGGTTGCTGGAAAGGCTGTTTTGTGCTCATGAAAGGATAAATTCATTCATCTACACCCCACTCGCACGCACACCCCTCTGTTAGAGAATGGGTGTATGTGGTCTCTTCCCATAAATTCCAGACCAATAGCGCCACCTTAGCTTAAAAAGTTGGGGGATTATGAGTAGTTACTGCAGAAGTGTCAGAACACCCAACTCTCTTTTCCTTTAATATTTTCTTGTTAGGCATACACTTGATCATTCCTGTTTAACTGTAATTTTTTTATTAACTTAATAAATTATGATGGATGAGATAAGATTGTGGATTGACCTGCGTCTATCCTCCCAACATTTGATTTCAAAATGTATAAGATATCCTCAAGTAAGCTGATTGTGTCAAGTTTACCATCTGGAGTTCGATCTCAGTCTCTATTCTTAGTAGTGTAACCCGGAACAAAGTTCTGTTTGGCTGTTAATTCAACATGGAGTTTACTCTTTTTTTAACCCCCCCCCTTTTGTACTGATGAGTTTACTCCTCTTTGAATAGTAAATATTGAGGCTGTTAATCTTCTTGCTATCTGTTCCTCAGTTAGCTCTTTAGTTTCTAGAGTGGCCCAGCTGTTAAATCTTCTATATAATGTTGCCCTTACTGTGTATAATATTGCCCTTACTGTGTGCAACATTGAATTTATTCAGGTTGGCCCTCACACAGCCTTGTCACTTGCAAGCCGTGCAAAAAATTTGCTTACTCTGGATCTGTCCTGGTGCCGAAATTTGACAGACAATGCAGTGGGTCTAATTGTGGATTGTTGCTCATCTCTGAAGCTACTTAAACTTTTTGGTTGCACGCAGGTATAAATAATTAAATATAGTTCAAATCCTTCACCGCTTTAAATTAATTACTGAATATAGTACTATAAGGAAGAGATGGCTAAAAGAAAAAGGGAAATATAATTAGTGTCTGAATTTTTCTTAAGAGATAATATAATTTTTAATCTCTAAACTATAAATTATACCGAGTCCAAAAAAAGAAAAAACTATAAAAATTGAATTGCTCCAAATTAATAAACTATAGATATTGAATTTCAAGCCAAAATTGAGGAATGAAATTGATAATAGAGAATAAGTTCAAGGCCAAAAAGTAGTAGTAGTAGTAGTTGTTGTTGTTATTTTTGTAATTATTGATTCAGTCCTGTATGGAATAACTCAGTCCCTCTAAATTCTTACTTAGGACAAGTCAGTGCTTATATATTTTTTTAACTTAATTTGTTTTGCCAGTAATTTTTTAACTTGATAAATTATAAGAATTGAATTATCTTGCGCTAAGGATTGAATTGATAATGGAGAGAATTTAGAGACTAAAAGTTATATTTTTTAAAAAGAAAGTGTAGATAAATGAATCAGATCCTATACATTTTTATTGCAGTGTCACTCTCTTATTATAGACTATGAATATTACTGGAGGGGATCTAAACCGTAATCTGTATAGAGATAAATTACCTTTAAGGTTTTAAATGTTGAGCTCTGCATCTTCGCAGATTACAGATGTTTTTCTGAATGGCCACTCCAATCCGGAGATCCATATAATTGGTTTGAAGATGTCTCCTCTATTGCGGCATGTCAAGGTGCCCAACAGTCAGCAACACGCTTTGCACTATTCCTCGGTTTAATTATAAATTCAGTGGTCTGAGAGTTCTTGCATTTGGGTTGGCGCATGATATTCTCATATATCCTTGGATTCGTGATTTTAAACTGAAGATCTAGAACTAATTTGGACGAGCCTTGGGAAATGCAGACGCATTCACGACGTTTGATTGTCTTGCCTTTGATGTATTCTAACGCCTAATTCGTCTGATCTGACATTTATGCATGATCACATATAAACGCAAATACGCAATCCATTGAGGCTATTTTCAATTTTATATTATACAAACAGCTTTTAAAACCTTAATTTTCTTCCTAGGCATCAAACTGGAACGCTTTAGGTATTGTTTGATTTCTTTTTAAAAAAACTGTTTTGTAATATATTTTTCAAAATTGTGATTATATGTATACACATATGTAAATATAACAACCAGTTTAATCTTGTTAGATGAAGTCAATTTCATGGATTGTATTATATCAGTGTCTTCAATCAACAGTCACATTTATATACATATATAAACATAACAAACAACCAATTGTATCCTATTAGGTGAAGTTAATTATGTGAATTGTATTATATTATTGTGTTCTATCAGTAATTAAATCTATATGCATGTATAAATATAAATGCATTTAAATACATTAAATTATATTTAAATCAAGTTAAAATTAATGATATCATGAGCACTTTCATCAATACTATATTTTAAAACTTGCATCTTTTTTAGTAACTTATGTGTCTAAAAGTAATTTCTATTAAAATCATCTAAATATTTATCGAAATTACATGTTAGAAAACCACATCCAAATATAACTTTAATTGGTGTGTCCAATCAAAGCATGTATAACTGTGGATCGAACAGGTACTGTATTGAACTATATATGAAAACGAAGCAATTATGGTTGCTCGGGTGACAACTGAACGCGCGCCATTTCGACCATCTGAAAAGGATATTGGGAAGCCCCTAGGCATCTATATGTCTGTATTCTGTATATGAAAAAGATAAAAAACCGCAGTCCATGCAATGCATAACAAATTAAGGATTGGGTTACCTCAAATTTCGTTATATAAATACAGTGACTACACGGTCTCATCATAGTGGTTGGCATTGACTCCGATCTGCTCCGCAAATTTTCTTATGTAGTTATCAACATATCTGGAAAAGCCATAGTTAGAATTAGTGGCACAGGCAGTTAACCTTTTACTTTTCTTTCCTTTAATGGGAATCAATTGGATCCGCTTAAAATTGAATGACAATGGGGACAACAAATTGAATAGGTTTATGAAAGAACATTTCTAGCACACTATATTCCGTACCGTTCGTGAGTTCGATCCTCCCAGTGACTTTCTGCCCTTAGCCACGCTGCTGTCTACCACAAAAAACGAAAAATGGAGTACCATGGAATGTTATTTTGACGTACAGAAACAAGAAGCCAGCTAATACAAGAACTGCACCTTATGTAACAATTCATTACGGACCCAGTATTCTTCATCAAGCACGGCTTCTCAAGCGCAACAAATTGCCCAAACTCAAACCTATCCTCTGTAGCCAAATCTTGACCTGATGGCTGCAATTGGTCACAATGGAGATGATCGGACCTCAGACTTTCTACCTTGACCTTGGATGGTGGTGAAAGCTGTACTCAAACTTTTTCCCTTTTACTATTCATCGTAGGTTGGAATTTTGAACCCATCGCCCTGTCCACAAAACAAAACATGAATGGTAAGATAAGTTTCGCATCCCGGGGATTTTGTTTTTTTTTTTTTTGGGGGGGGGTGTTTGACTATTGAAACTCGTCCAAGAGGCAATAATTCTTAGCCATTTATCACGGCTTGGACACCTATTAGGAAAGAAACTTTAGCGTTCGGGTCTTCGAAGTGAAACTGGTGACATAGGATGCATGCTTCCTCCAGGTTTAAGAGCCAATTCTTGTGTATATATTTTGGGAAAAGCTAAATCATGTTTCGGCAACCTAGAAGAAGAACTGACTCTGCTGGTGCAGCCGTGCAAAATCCTATCCTTCTTACTATTTGGACGGAATACATAAGAGGTTCAAACACGAACGGATTAAACTGGAAGAATTTCGTACAGAAAGAAGGAAACCTTGATTCCTGAAGAAATAAAAATACTCACAAAGTGGTCTACCACAAGCACTCAATATCCTAAAATGAAAAAAAAGATAAAAATACTCATAACGTTACATAGATGAATGCAAAAGTAATCATACTGTTAACTTTGACCTAACGCTATTAACTTTGACCGTTAAATACTGACTATGCATGTTACGTGTCAGTCTTTAATGAGGTAAACTAATAAAGGGACAAAAATATCCACGAAATTATAGACCAAGAGCAAAATTGCTTACATATTAGTTCCTCATAGTTATTTGATAAAATTTTTATTTTTAATTGTTAATTTCCTTACATAATTTGATAACTTGTTAACTCAAAACATACTTGTTAAATGCGTAAAACATTAAAATTATGATTTTAACTTGAGAAGTTTATTTCAGTCATTTTGTCTTACATTTTAATTTCAATTTAAGCTTAAATTATTGCTGTGAAATTTCAAATTTATTTGAATCTCGTTTGCAATAATGTCACATCATTGATCCTTTAATGAAATTATCCCATTTTCTAGAGCATGCAAATTTTGATTATTGGTTTGAGATATATAAGTGTATTAATACTTAATAGATATCTACAGAGTTATTAATCAATTATGATTACCAACCTTTTGGCTTCTTAACCCAAACATCATTAATTTGAATATGTTTGAATAAAGAAGAGTGATATTTTAAACAATAATAAAATAATAAAATTAAGGACCTTGAAGAAACAGTAATAATAATTTAGGGCTACAAAATTATGAAATTAACATTTAAGGATCTTGTTTTTCCTTTTGTTGTTTAAAAATACCCTTTTGACTGTCGTTATGCACAATTACTTGGTTAGTGTGAAAAGTCTTTTAAGTTAAAAGATTTTTTTAAAAAAACTGCAAAAAAGACCACAGTTCTTAAATTGAATTTTAAGATTTTGAGATCCTCAATTTTTATTACTTATTTTCCCGAGTCCATAATTGTCCTTTTTTTCTTTATTTGAAAAATAATATTATTTTTAATTCCTATAATTTAAACTAACTTTTAATTCGGCCCAATAATCTTAGGTGTTGGTCCTTGAACCCTTAAAACTAGCAAACTGATCCTTAATATGCAGAAATGATATGAGAGTGTGAGAAGGTGAAACTTATGCTGTGAGGGGCGGTAGTTGTAGCGTCGTCATCTCCACCACGGTCTCCATTGACAATTCCAAAGAGTCAACTTATGCCTCTATGGCAAACAGAATTAGAGAAATGGAACTTAAATCGTGCATCAAAATTTAAACACGTTTTACCTCATGTCATGAACTCAAATGCGTATAACACATTGATTGACAGAAAATTCCCAATCCCAAACGATAGTTTCAGAATCAATATAAGGAAATTACAAAACTGCAATTTTATAGAAAGAAGGAAACATAAAGGGAAAGGTAGCCATGGGATTCCAAAAAGACGAAGAAGGAGAGAATTTACCGTCGCAATTATAGGAGATAATAGAATAAAACCAAGTCTGTTTTATAACTAAGTTGGTTAGTGTGTTTAGTTGCTATCACGTGACTTGTGGGCCAGAATCTGTATCAGTTACTGAGCTGACAATGCTTATATGTTGTACTCACATCTATTGAATAAATCCGAGCTTTGAGAAATACATATTACTTTAATCCACTGATACTGGTAACAATGACAATGCCCGAAGGGAGTAGAACGCCATAGAGAGAGAGAGTCTTCACAAAATTCTTTTCCCTTCAAAACCCTTTTTCATCTCAATTTATCCTCACTTCTTTCTTAACCCACTCCAATTCTTCTGGCCCCATTATATGTAGATGGCCCATTAGTTTCTTTTTCTTGGTCCAAATCCTTCTTAAGTCAATCCATTACATTACCCCCTCATGGTCATGGACATTGACCATGTCCTCAAGGTTAAAGGTCGGGCACTTTCTTTATGAATGAACCAGAGAGATCCAAGTAACTTTTACGTCATAGAAATTCTTGGCTTTGGCTTAGAAACTATAACGTGAGCGGTGGTGTTTCAATTGAAGCAAAATAAAGGCTTTCATGGGTCCAGAAATCAAACAACTTGTGAATGTAATGCCATGTCATGGTTCTCTTCTTGCATTGCCACAGTACAGTCATGGGTAAGGATTCCCTTTCGAATCATAGCCACATGAAAACCAATGTCAGGAAGTATGTCCTATGACATATCAAACAGTGAGCACACTAATGTACCACAAATATTAAAAAAAAAAAAATTAGGACGACCAAGCCACATTGCTGTAGGTTTCTTGAAAAGTTGAATATAAAACCCCATTAGGCTTGGGATTACAATAACAACACTCACATTTGGGTGGAGAAGCAATAGTGTCCAGGTATTAAAGAAAATTTGCTACAGGTGAAAGTGTAGTGGGGCGTGCCAAATGTCCAAGCATTGAGTTGTTCCTTATTTCCCAGACCCCAAGAAAATATGAAAAAACATATTGAAACTGAGGCCAAAGGCAAAAGCAAGATTATTGACAGCACAATATGTAGTCAACTTTAGAATCACCATTGCATAATATTCTTGAAGCAAAACTATAGCAAAATATTTGTGCTGCCTCTTAATCATGTTGTTGACGACAATTACATCAAGCAACCATCTCTTAGAATTACGCATGCTCTGAAAGGTAACAAAAAATGAAAAGGCAGAAATAACATCATTTTGAGGGACTTTCTCACTAACTTGCATTGATCCAAATGAATATTTGAAGATACAAACTAGAGAAACAATCTTGATGGGTATATGGTAAAGCTTCATACAATTCATTTGATGTGATTGTGATTCCAAAATGGGAAATAGATTAGCAATGTCTGACTACTAACAAAATGTGTACATAGACTCACTTTGTTTGTCTTTACTTTGAGTGAGAGAGAGCTTTGATAATAAAGGTTCAAGAGGAATTTCTATAGTAGTATAATTCCTCTTCCATGGATTATGTAGAACATGAGCAAAGCCTGTTGCTTCCAAGAACAAGGATAGCCAAGGAGGGTTAAGAACAAGCATCCTCTAGCAAGACCAGGGTCAAAAATCATAATAAAGATTGATAATAAGATTGGCAGACCAAGATATATGTCAACAAGTTCAATAGGTAAAGCAGAAAGGCTAGTGAAGCATTATGTCAAACACAAGGTATGCAATATTTATGTGATTACATTGCTAATTAGAAAGGAGATTCAAATAAAATTTTAGGATCTAGGATCAAATGCCAATTGAATGACAAAAACCCATTGAAGAACTTGGACCAAATTAAGAGAGCCAATAGAAGGAAATAAAATTGAAAGTCATCAATACTACCATAGATAGAAGATAGCTATGGAGAAATAAGATCACCCTAGATTGAGAAGCCACCCATGAAACCTTCACACAAAGTAACGTTTATGCAAGAGTTAACAGGATTCATAAGCTTTCGAAACTCATAATAAGGCTGACTAATAAATTCTTGAGATTTGGCATTGGGAAAGTAGAGGTAAAGGCTAGTGAAAAAAATCTTTCCGCATTGTAGTAACTTGTTGGGAATTAAAGTGGTCATTTGATAGAGCTCAGCCTTATCCAACAGTTCACAGTAGAAATTAAATGGAACGAACAAAGGAATGAAGGGAAATTCTTAAGTTTTGGTATAATTACTGAGTAATTGAATCAACGTTACAAAAGGAAGTCACTGATTATGGCCAAAACCCTATTCCCTATTATAGGGACACAATACAATATGAAGTACAATGAACAACATACACACAAAGGTCTCTTATTGGTATTCGAGATACCAGTACTCTCTTCTCTAATCTATGAGTTCAAAAACATGGTTTGAGTGCTTAAAACAACAGTAATAAAATATTAAGTAAGAAAAAAGTGACTCTATAATTTAGGCTGAACCCACAGCCACCCTACAGCATAATTATCTATTCCATAAAATTAGGAACCTTAGGCTAAGAGTCTTGTTCAGTTGGATATTTCATTTCCCCTTTATTTTTTTTCCTTTTAACCTAGTCTTATAAGTTTGAATTTGCTTTCCTAACCTCCTCTTGTAAGTCTAGGAAAATCTCATGATCACATCATTGCCCTCCACTAAAAGCTTTATCCTGTCCTCAAGAGGAAAATCTGCAAATTGTATCAAGAGTCTCCCAAGAGTTCTCAAACTAAGGTAAATCTTTCCATTTCACAAGGATCTCTTACTGATCGTTTAAAAGCTTTTTGACTTTGCGAATCTCTTGTTGCTATACCCAGAGCTCCAATTCGTGAGATAATGCAACAGGTATAGTAAGAGTTACTATAGGAAAATGCAATTATTTTTTAAGCTAGGAAATATGGAAAATAGGATAAATGTAGGTTGAGGAGGGTAAATCCAGCTTGCCAACCTTCTCAACAACCTTAAAGGGATCAAAGAAGCATAGGCTTAATTTTTCATTGATTTTTTAAGCAATAGTTTCCAATTGATAAGGCCTAATCTTCACATAAACCAAGTCATGAACCTCCAATTCAACATCCCAACAATGCTTATTAGCTTGTAAATTCATCTTACTTTGAGCTAAGTTTAGATTTTCCTTTAAGGCTGCAATGATCTAATTGTGAAACTAGATCTATTTATTGAATGGTTACATCCCTACTACACTATAATAGGATGTATTATAGCAATATTCTACACAGGGCAGTCATTTAGCCTATATTTATGCTTCTCGCTAGTAAAATAGCCCAAATAAGTTTCTAATCATTAACTTAAATTCTCAATTTGCCCATCAGACTCAAGGTGGTAGGCAGAACTTAAACATAATCAAGTACTAGCTTGCTTGAATAATTTCTTTCAAATTGGCTTATAAACACCCTATCCCTATCTGAAACAATTGTTTTTGGAAAACCATGCAACTTGACAATCTCATTCACAAAAGTTTCAATAATATCCTTGACCGTAAAGGGGTAGGATAAAGGTAGGAAAAGAGCATAT